CAGAGAAAGACCTGAGAACGCTGGTCTGTGTGAACTGAAAAGGGAGTGGACACCATCGAATCTACCTAGGTTTTTACGACAGTGTCGATAATGAAGTCCAGCGTAAGAACGTCTACCTGTTCCATCTAACATTTTTAAACCCAAAGGACGATAATTTGTCCGATCAGAGCGCTCGCAGGTTGTCGAATTTACACCAGCTGTCTCACTATCCGTTATTTGGACAATTTAGAGATCATACAGCCTGGGTACAATAGTAACATTGGTCTTCCTGGTCCCTACATGTGTCATTTGTCCACCTTTTCGACACACCATCGCGCGTGTAGTTTTGCAGTCTAGGGCGTCAGTCTTTCTGTGATATTCACTGAATAATTTCATTACATTATAGAAAGAGGCAAGATAGCGAACAAACACGTTTTCGGTCACTTCATCCGCTGGCTAATACAGTCATATATATATATATATATATATATATATATATATATATATATATGTAACGGTACTACCCTGAGGATGAAGTTACCGAAAACGTGTTTGTTCGCTATGGTGCCTCTTTCTCTGATATCTTGCTAACCATGATTAACGGAAACTTCGTTGTGGAGAAAATCGGGCCATGCATCATAGGACCACAGCGTAGTGAAACAACAAGCTTTAGGTTTGCTCACAATGATGTGCTAAACAGCCCGTGAATGTCAAATCTTACCCTGCATTATCACTAACGAGCCGAGCGGAACCAGTTTATCCTGTTACTTACCAAAGGAGCTCAGTGAACAACTACGAAGTTAATTCGGTAAAAGTGATTCGGAGACATGAAGCGGAGAATCCAATGAGGACCCAGTGAGAAAAAATTAGTAATGATCCGGGATACAATGAACTACTGTTAAACCCACTCTGGGTTAAAGCTATGCCTTTTAAACTAAGCCACTTGGGATGACTAAATTTGATATTCTGAGATGGTAATCCAGTACCTTGTAGAAGATGCACATGAATAGGGTTAGCATAGGATGTTTAGAATCAGAGACCAGTCGCTAGACATGTAGTATACATGCCCACCAATAGACATTTTGGCGTACTCTGCTTGCCGAGACAGATAGTGGTTGGAAGGTAGGTCGATGTTGTCGGTAAATGACATGGCACAGGGTGTAAAAATCTCGACCAGCGAACCTTGGTCTACCAAGACTCGTAAGACTTCCCGATTGGGGTTTATGTGATCCGCCTACCAGATGGGCGAAGAAGTTAAATGATGTGCCCAGGTGTCGCGGCTTGTAGTGTGGTTCCGTTCGGGCCCTTTCTTCGTCTTCGTGGTTGCCTCGTATTATTCTTGTGTTGGAGTGCGCACGGTACTCAGCGAATAAGTGAGTAGTTAATTGCTTATCAGTTTGGCCCTACCCTGGTGACCTGACATTTAATACCATCTCCACTCCAGTCTTGTTCACTCCTATAATATTTCGTCCGCTTCAATCTTATCTCAGTTTCATTGGTTATCCTACTGACAATAAATGAAAAATCACATTGACTGCAGTATACACGCGTACAGATGCAGCGAAATGGTTCAGGATACATTGTGTAAACCCATGTTGCTCATTTCTCTTCTCAAACGTGATTACCTCACGTTAATTGGACTAAATGAGGTTAGAAAGACACAAAACAAGTGGTTGCATTACGCAAACAAAAGAAGATCAGCTTAAGATGATCTGGATTACTGTGATACAAAAGAGCCTTTTCATTATATTTGATTGATGCTATTGTTGTTCAAATGTCTAGTGTGCACAGCTTTTCTTCCGTGTTGTTCTGCTTTACTTTCCACGTTCTGCTTTCATTTGTTTTGCCCTCAACTTGCAAATGTCGTCAGGTGGCAAACAAAACTGTGAACATACTCCGGATGGATCGATTCATCTATAATGATGCACCTCAGGCGCCGTGTGTGCTATTTAACTCACTGCTAGTCGAAAGGCGTAAACGACCAGCTGGTTATGAAGCACAGTGGTCTAATGCTAAGCACAGGTACGCAGGTAATTAAATTTGTTCCACTAATACCACTTTGTCAAGCGTTTGCTCTATAATACGAAAGTGTGAAGGCAATCGAAATTTATTTTTATTTGTGATAAGGTTTTAAGGTGCTTTGAAAAAGGCTGCGTGCAGCTCAATGTGCTAAACCTTCGTGTCCAGGATCCGTCCAAACAAACGCAATCAGAAAATGGTAGTCAGAACATTCTGATACAATCAAATCACTTCATGATTGGTCACGATACTATCTGCCAACAATGTTACGTCAGGCCTCATATGCAGATGAACGTGTAGCACATGAAGTCAATCGAATACCTACTTGCCATTCTTGTCTTCTCAACTGTGGGTGTGCATTGTTCCGGGTACGAGTTATTTCAGTTTATAGGAGTTGACTGAGTAGATTCAAGTCTCGAAAACACTCAGAGATGGGGAATATTTTCGGTAGGAAATACTCATTGTGCATAGTATGATTCATCGTGCTGGAAAAGGCTGATATGTCATTAAGTAGAAGTCCGACGAGGTCCAGTCTCAACAGACCGGTTTGTATGGTACATCTAGTTCTGCACTAGCAACCACTCTATCCCGTGAAAGGACACTCTAGCAAACATACAGGGGGAAAACAATCTAACGGTCAAAACATCCACTAAAGTGATGTGGGAATAAAGTACCCAGGTTTTCTCTGAACTTGACATTTGCCCGCCCAGAGGATACACCATATTATTCGTTTGGTAGGGATCGCGGCCTAGGGTAGAGTAACCAAACATTTAAGATACACCCATACCACGCAAGGGTACAACGCTGTCCTATTTGTGGGGCATGGTAGGTTTGTGCCGGTCACCATCTTGAATATGCAGGGACAACGAGGGAAATGTTCTTGGTTAGTCAAAGGAAAACGGGTTTACACATCCGAATAATTCTTTAAATGTCCAATAACATTGAAATTATGACTGTCAAATGCAGCTGATTAGGCGAGTCAAGCCGGATTCAAAGTTTATTTACAGACCTACATGAACTTTTCGAACCTGCGTTCTTTGACGGTCTAACCTTCCGGAAAGCGGCGAATTAGATCCTCGCACAAAGCTACCATGACTGCATCTGGAACTGAAATCTCACACATGATGTGCCCTTGCATTGTTTGGGTGTATCGGGA